AACCCTGTCTCTACTAAAAATACAAAAAATTAGCCGGGTGTGGTATTGGGCACCTGTAATCCTAGCAACTCAGGAGACTGAGGCAGGAGAATCACTTGAGCCCATGAGATGGAGACTGCAGTGAGCTAAGATTGTTCCACTACACTCCAGCCTGGGTGACAGAGTAAGACTCTGCCTCAAAAAAAAAAAAAAAAAAAAGAGTGAGACTCTCCCTCAAAATAAATAAATAAAGGCCAGGCGCAGTGGCTCACACCTGTAATCCCAGCACTTTGGGAGGCCAGGCAGGCGGGGAGAGTTGTGGAGGTGGCTTTTTACTACTGGGTAGGTAGAAACCTGGGCTCCCCACGTGATTGTCACTAATAACATGGGGTGGGACAGGGTTTCTTATCACCCACTGTGGTTTCAAGTCCCAGCTCCTTGTCTATTTTCTCTACTGTTAACCCAGTGGGTGGGGTAGGGTGCCTAACTACAGCCCGCTGAGTGCAAGTCTAGCCTGTTTACTTGGCTTTTGTTGGTGTGGGTAGAGGTGAGGCCACAGTCCTTATGTGGTGTTTGAATGTCTTTGTATTATTTTATGAGATGGTCAGTCAGGTGCAGCCACAAGAGGAGACACAGGAGAGGCTCATGAAGACAAAGATTTTATGCTCACAGGTCACACCATGCAGGTCCACGTGGGAAGGACCCCCAAGGGGTCAGGAGGCAGAAGACAGGAGCGAAAGGAAGGCATTATTGGCCAGAGCCTTCGTTGAGGTTTCCATGAGACAAACAGGGTAGGGCAGGGGAAGAATTTGGGATTGGCTGGTTTGAATAATTTCAGCGGGCTCTAAGCCACAGGCGTGGCCCAGAGTTGCCTAGCACCTGGCCCTGAGGTGATTAAGGCAGGAGTGTTGCCTCCTTGGGTGCTCTGGCAGGTGGTGAAGAAGGAAGGGCTCTGGAGTGGTTAATTTGTATAGCAAAGGCTTGCCCCAACACTGAGTCCTTTGCTACTTCTAAGAATCGACTAGCCTTGAGGGCAGTCTCTCCCTAGCCAGAAAGATCTTTAGAATGTCAAAACATCATAATAGTTCCTCAATTCCAGCAGTTTGGGCGCAGGAGGGCAGATCACTTGAGCCTAGGAGTCCAAGACCAGCCTGGCCAACATGGTGAAACCCTGTCTCTACTGAAATACAAAAATTAGCTGGGTATGGAGGTGCACACTTATAGTCCCAGCTACTCGAGAGACAGGTGGGGGGATCACCTGAGCCTTGGGAGGTTGAGGCTGTAGTGAGCCATGATCCCACCACTGCACTCCAGCCCAGTAACAGAGTGACACCTTGTCTCAAAAAAAGCCAAACCAAACATCATAATATAAAAAAAATAGACACAGAAGCTGAAGCAGAGCGATGATTTCAAAAGGTTTCTATTGTGTGAGGCTGCCCCTTCCTCATCCTTTGGCTGGTGAGAGCGGGAGCAGGCTTTCACTGGGGCTTTCCTGTTTGCATTTGTTGGGGTTTCTGGGTTGCTGACTTCTTCAGCTCCAAGTCTGGACTAGAAGAAGCACAAAGAAACCCAGGGAACTCAACACCGTGTCTTCCATGGGTCCTGAGGTCCCTAGCATGTCTCTTTCTCTTTCACAACCCTTTAAGGGTTGTTTTATACATAGCGGTCAGGAATTTTTGTTGTACTTGGCAGGAGAATTAGAAAACTACCTCTATCTCTCAGAAGCGCAAGTCTCATGTTTATTTTTGAGGGATGTTTTCATGGGGTGTAGAATTCTGTGTTGATGTTATTTTTCTTTTTGAGACAGACTCTCACCCAGGCTAGAGTGCAGCAGCGTGATTATAGCTCACTGCAGCCTCAGCCTCCTAGTCTCAAGTAATCCTCCCACCTCAACCTCCCAAGTAGCTGGGACTGCAGGTACCCACGACCAGGCATGGCTAATTTTTTGTAGAGACAGAATTTTGCCATTTTGCCCCTGCTGGTCTCGCTCAAGTGATCCGCGCCCACCTTGGCCTCCCAAAGTGCTGGGATTACAGGGCAGCCACCACAGCTGGCCCATCCTGTTCTTTTAATACTTGAAAGATGTTATTCCACTGTCTTCTGGCCTGTACTATGCCTGATAAGAAATCTGTTGTCAGTTTTACCTTTGTTCCTATATACATAATGTTTTTTTGTTTGTTTGTTTGTTTGTTTCTTGTGTTTTTTTTGAGACGGAGTTTCACTGTGTAGCCCAGGCTGGAGTATAGTGGTGTGATCTCAGCTCACTGTAACCTCTGCCTCATGTTCAGGTGATTCTCCTGCCTCAGTCTCCTGAGTAGCTGGGATTACAGGCATGCACCACCATGCCCTGTTGATATTTTGTATTTTTAGTAGAGATGGGGTTTCACCATGTTGGCCAGGCTGGGCTGGTCTTGAACTCCTCAAGTGATCCCCCTGCCTCAGGCTCCCAGACTGCTGAGATTACAGGCATGAGTCACCATGCTGGCCTGTGTAATGTTGTTGTTTTTTTTTTTTAATCTCCAGTGCTTTTAAGATTTTTATTGCTGGTTTTAAGCAGTGGTCCTTTGTGTAGTTTTCTTCATGTTTTTACTGCTAGAATTTGTTGAGGTTCTTAGATCTGTACATGTATTATTTCTGTTAAATTTCTGTCAACTTTCAGTGACTTTTAAAAACTTAACTTCTTTGGTGTAAGTTTTTCTTGAATATTAATGTAGATTCATGTGAACTGACAGCTCGGTCAGGATATGAAACCATGCCTCATCCCAAAAACCTCCCTTGTGCTTTTCCTTTGTAGATAATTGTTATTTCTTGAAATACTTATGTTATCCTTTTACCTTCAGACTCTAATGATGAGTATCAGGGACAACTTAAAATTGTCCCATAGTTTACTGATAACGCTGTGTTGTTATTTTTAGATTTTTCTCTCTTTATGTTTTATTAGAGATATTTTCTACCCGTAATGAATATCTTCAAGTTCACTAATCTTTTCTTCTGTGGTGTCTAATCTGTTATTAATCACATCTGGTGTTTTTGTTGTTTGTTTTTGTTTTTTTGAGACAAGGTCTTACTCTGTTACCCAGGCTGAAGTGCAGTGGCGCTGTCATAGCTCAACATCAGCCTCCAACTCCTGGGCTCAGGTGGTTCTCCCATCCCACAACAGCCTCTGGAGTAGTGCCACCACACCTGTCTAATTTTTGTATCTTTAGTAGAGATGGGGCTTTGCTGTGTTGCCCAGGTTGAACTCCAAACTCTTGGGCTCAAGCAGTCCTCCTGCCTCAGCCTCCCAAAGTGCTGGGATGACAGGTGTGAGCCACCATACCTGGTATATCTGGTGTATTTTTCACCCCAGAGATTCTGCTGTTCATGTGTAGAAGTAGATTTATATCTATTTCCATGTTTCTTCTTAATGTGTTCTTCCATTTTTTCATTTTCCATCTCCTTGAACATATGAATATATTTATAATATCCTTTTCAGGGTCTTTATCTTCTGATATCATCTGTGTTATTTCTGGGTCTTTTTCTATTTATTTCCTCCTTGTTACTGGTTATTCCTACATCTTTGCATGCCCTGTACTGTTTGATTCGATGCCAGACTGGATGCTGGGGTTTTGTTTTCCTTTAAAAACTGTTTTGAGCTTTATTGTGGGACAAAGTTAATTGGAACTAATTTGATCCTTTTGCAGTGTTGAAGCGTTATCAGGTAGGTCTGGGCAGCCTTTAGTTAGGCAGTTTCTCAGCCTCGGTACTGTCGGCACTTCGGGTGGTTCTTTGTTGTGAGGGGCTGTCCTGTGCATTTGAGGCTATTTAGCAGCATCCCTGGCTTCCACCCAGGAGATGCCATAGCACCACTTAGCACACGCTAAGAATGATTTTTACATTTTTAGAAAGTTGTAAAAAAAGATACGCCATAGAGACCACCATCTGTGGCCAGCAACACCAGAGTATTTACACAGAGATTACTTTCCTTTTTCTTTTCTTTGTTTTTTGAGACAGTCTCACTCCATTGCCCAGGCTGCAGTGCAGTGGTGTGATCACAGCTCACTGCAGCCTCAACCTCCCTGAGCACAGGTGAGCCTCCCACCTTAGCCTCCTGAGTAGCTGGGATTACAGGCTTGTGCCGCCACACTGGGCTAATTTTCTTTTTATTTTTTGTAGAGACAAGGTTTGACCATGTTGCCCAAGCTGGTCTCAAACTCCTGGCCTCAAGAGATACACCCACCTCGGCCTCCCAAAGTGCTGAGATGATAGGTGTGAGTCATGGTGCCTGGCCTACACAGTGATTTCTAATCCCTGCTGTGGGAGACATTCTTTTAGTATTTGAGATAAATGGTGGTATGAGGGGGGGAAAAAAGTCTTGCTTTTCCAGTATGGAGAGTAGCTAGAAGCACTGGCTTTGTAATTAGAAAGAGTATGAGTTAAGTCCAATTATGTCTGTCACGTAATAACTCTTTTGACATCCGGCAAACTTTTAAATTCTTTGAGCCCTTTTCCTTTGTTGTGAAAGAGAGCTAATATGTACTTATCACTTAGATTTGTTAGAAAAGTAAATGAGGCCGATTGTGATGGCTCACACCTGTAATCTTAGCACTTTGGGAGGCCAAGGCCGGTGGATTGCCTGAGCTCAGAAGTTAAAGACCAGCCTGGTAACATGGTAAAACCCTGTCTCTACTAAAAATACAAAAAAAAAAAAAAAAAAAAAAAATAGCTGGGCGTGGTGGCGCATGCCTGTAGTCGCTGCTACTTAGGAGGCTGAGGCAGGAGAATTGCTTGGACCTGGGGAGGCAGAGGTTGCAGTGAGTGGAGATTGCACCACTGCACTCCAGCCTGTGTGACAGATTGAGACTCCGTCTCAAAAAAAAAAAAAAAAAAAGTAAATGAAAACGCATAAAAGTAGATAGCTCATGGCATGCATATAGCAGCTACTATTTCACTACAGGTGTGTGCCCCTGATCTGTAATTAGCTTTGATGTGTGTATATAGTTGTATTTTGCTAATTTGGAGGATTATCATCTATCTTTCAGGTCATGCAGAAGGCTTTTGTATGATGTGTACAATGCAAGCACATATTACCCAGGCACTCAGTAATCCTGGGGATGTTATTAAGCCAATGTTTGTCATCAATGAGATGCGGCGTAAGTATTTATTATTGTAGTTTATATTTGTATTTATTACCTAGTTAGTTTTTATTTTTTGAGACAGAGTCTCGCTGTGTCGCCCAGGCTGGAGCATAGTCTTGCTATCTCGGCTCACTGCAACCTCCACCTCACAGTTTCACACAATCTCCTGCCTCAGCTTCTCGAGCAGCTGGGATTACAAACATGCTCCACCAGGCTCTTTTTAGTAGAGATGGAGTTTCTCCATGTTGGTCAGGCTGATCTCGAACACCTGACCTCAGGTGATCCACCTGCCTTGGCCTCTCAAAGTGCTGGGATTACAGGTATGAGCTACCACACCTGGCCTATTACCTAGTTATTCTTAATGTCCAACTGGTAAAAAAAAAAAAACTGAGCCCCTTGTGTGTTAGAAAACAAATATATTTTTATCATATGTGGCTGTGTCTTCAATAACACATTTTTAGTAAAACATTTGCTGTATAAACACGTTTTGAAACTTTTAAGCAAAAGATGACAATATAATAAAGACTATTCAATTTAACAAATTTTAAATTATTAAAAATCAGTACGTTAAAATCATTGGTAAGTTTTGCAGTGTTTTTGCTCTAACACTTGGATTTCTATGCTGAGTAATACTAATTCTGATATTGTCGGGCAGGTTTTGTAAACAGCTTTTAATTAGTTTCAATTTGGTGAATGAATATTATACTATACACAGTGACAGAAAATGTCAAAAATAAAGGTAATTAGGCTACTCTGGACACACTGCCTGTGGATTAGCGAGCTCTGCAAGGAGCAGTAAAAATAAAATAAATAAATAAATAAATAAATAAGGTTAATTCTCTTTTTTATTTATTTTTTTATTTTGTGAGACTGTGTCTCACTATGTTACCCAGGCTAGGCCTGAATTCCTGACTCAGGTGATCCTCTCGCCCAGTTGAGTAACAGATTACAGATGTGTACCAGTGGGCCCAACTTAATTATAGTCTTCAAAGAATTTATACTCAGAGCTTAGCAAATTTGTGGATAAATTTTACTTTTTTGTAGTTAATTTTTAAATTTTAAATGGATAGGTGCGTGAAATTTTTTTGCATACTTTTTGTGTGTTTTTGCAATAAACTTTTACATCATGTTAATTAACTGAGTTGGGATAAAAAATGCAAACCAACAAAACTATAACTCTTCATCTGGTATCTAACTGAATAATTATAGGGATGCATAATTATACACTAACAAACTGTAATCTTTTTTTCTAGAAAGCCACTTAAAATTAAAGAAGTGTTATTGGCCTTTAGCATTATTGATAGACCACAACAGACAAGCCAAAAACCTTTGAAATATTACAGAAGCCTGGCAAAATTTAGCTAGGCAGGGTTTGGATTGTTCATTCATTCATTTGAGATGGAGTCTTGCTCTGTTGCCCAACCTGGAGTGCAATGGCATTATCTCGGCTCACTGCAACCTCCGCCTCTTGGGTTCAAGTGATTCTCCTGCCTCATGCTCCCGAGTAGCTGGGATTACAGGTGTGTACTACCACACCTGCCTAACTTTGTAGTTTTAGTAGAGACAGGGTTTTACCATGTTGGCCAGGCTGGTCTTGAACTCCTGGCCTCAGATTATCCATCGCCTTGGCCTTCCAGGCATAAGGTACCATGCCTGGCTGTTTATACATATATTTATTTTTTTAATTTTTATGTTTATTTTTTTTTGAGACAGAGTCTCACTCTGTTGCACAGGCTGGAGTGCAGTGGTGCCATCCTGGCTCACTGCAACCTCTGCCTGCTTGGTTTAAGCAATTTGCCTGCCTCAGCCTCCCGAGTAGCTAGGACTACAGGCACGTGCCACCACGCTGGCTAATTTTTTGTATTTTTAGTAGAGACGGGATTTCATTGTGTTAGCCAGGATGTTCTCGATCCCCTGACCTCGTGATCTGCCTGCCTCCGCCTCCCAAAGTGCTGAGATTACAGGTGTGAGCCACCATGTTTGACCACATATATTTATTTTTATACATACTTATATAGTAGGCATGACTAACATTTTTAGACCTAGTCTTTTAAGAAAATGTCACTGTGCTGTGTGTGTGTGTGTGTGTGTGTGTGTGTGTGTGTGTATACATCCACTGATGCACACATGGTTGAATCATGAAGTTGTCACTTGTAGGTCTAAATTGGTGGAGTGTTGGCAGTTTCATATGATTTAAGCTAGAACATATTTTTATACATTCATACACATGTAAAATTCAGTATGTATGTTTTATTGTGATATTGCTTATACTTTTGTATTAATTTTTAATTATAATTTAAAAAATAATTTGATATTGTAGCTGCTTAATTAGTTAGAAACAGGACCGAAATGTTACTGTGCACCTGCAGATATAATTTCTTCTGTGAGTCATTGGAATAGAGTTAGATAGGATGTGATATTTATGTTTTGAATGGATTCTCTTATAGAGATCTAGCACCAATTTAAAATCATCAACATAACATTTTGGACAAACTTGAGACAAAACAGCCAGTTTATTCAAGTGTAACTTTATTAACTTGCTAAAAACATGAGTCACTCTGTAGCTACTCTCTGGACTCTCAGAAACTCTAGGCGCTGTGGACTTTTAATGATCTAAAGCAGGGACCCCTAACCCCTGGGCCGTGGACTGGTACCGGATGTGGCCTGTTAGGAACTGGGCCGCACAGCAGGAAGTGAGCAGCAGGTGAGCATTACCGCCTGAGCTCCGCCTCCTGTTAGATCATCGGCAGCGTTAGATTCTCATAGCAGCACGAACCCTATTGTGAACTGCACGTGCCTGAGATCTAGGTCACACGCTCCTTATGAGAATCTCATGCCTGATGATCTGAGCTGGAACAGTTTCATCCCAATCCCCTCCTCTGTTCTGTGGAAAAATTGTCTTCCATGAAACTGGTCCCTGGTGCCAAAATGGTTGGGGATTCTGGTCTAAAGGGCATGATCCTGCTTATAGCTTTTATATTAGTGGCTTATGTTAGTGCTATGTCCTTATGATATAAGTATTTGGGAGTTTTCCAACCAACATATTATTATAAGATATATTTTGGGGGATACCGCTTAGGGTAATTATATGTAATGATAAAGCCTTGTCTTTACTGAAATTTTATAGGTATAGCTAGGCACTTCCGTTTTGGAAACCAAGAAGATGCCCATGAATTCCTTCAATATACTGTTGATGCTATGCAAAAAGCATGCTTGAATGGCAGCAATAAGTAAGTACGACAAAGCGCCAGTCTTCTTCATTTGGCATCTCTGGTTGTAATTTACCAGAAATCATTTTCACCGTTTTTGTTGGAAGCACATAGAACTTCGTTCACTTTACCTTTTGGCTTGCTCTGCCTCTTCCTCAGATGATGGGCATTATTTTAAAATGGTTGAAATTTATAGATGTATCTTACTATAACAGTTTGCATTTACTCAGTGACAGATGTCAGGAAATAAGCATTGGTCTTGCCCCTATTTAATTTCTGGTTATCAGCAGATGTCTGCACATCTCACACTAGCTGCTTCTCCTTTCTAGTTGTGTCTGATGTTTTCTTTTCTCTGCTGCCCTCCAGCCTGTATTTATATCCTGAACCCCCACCCCAGTCAGTTACTTATTTCTGCAGCTTGCTCCTTAAAATGTAAATGCAGAGTCGAGGAAGAATGAGGGGACAGTTAAATAATGCATCCTAAGCCTCTTGTTGCTGTCTGAGTACATCTGGTAGCTCTCCCTCTGTGTTCTCCGTGCCCTGGCACCACCCTGTCTAGGCCTTCAACGTCTGGGTGGTGACAGACTTTGGTCAGAGGAAGACTCTCTGCCTTTTCCACCTCAGCTGCCTTTCCTCCCACCCAGGCTACAGCACCCCAAGGCTGCCTTCTTCCTGCTTCACGACCAGACTCCTGCCTTGCTTCCCGAGTCCCTTCCTGACAGACACAGTTCCCACAGCTCTGCCTCTCCTCCCACCGCTCCCAGACCTCCCTGTGTTCTGGCCAGGCAAGGCTGCTCTTGGGCTGCCCTTGGGCTGCCACACATGCGTCCTTTTATTTTCTATGGCTGTCCTGTTTGAATTCTTGCTCTTTTGTAAGCTCATGTGTTTGAAATCTGGACACAGCATCTGCAGTTTTTGCAAAGCTCTTCTCTCATGTCACTGTTTGATGTTTTTCAGATTAGACAGACACACCCAGGCCACCACTCTTGTTTGTCAGATATTTGGAGGATACCTAAGATCTAGAGGTAAGCTTTTGCTTATAAATTGATAAAATGATACATGCATGTGGTTAAAAAATGCTAATAGTAGGACAGGGTTAATAAGTACCCTTCAGCCCAGGGTCTCATTCCTTTTGCCCAAAGGCAACCCCAGTGCCAGGTTGTAGTAAATCCTTCTGGTAGTTTCCTATGCATGAACAAACTGGGAGCATACTGTGTGCACTGCTTCCATTTGTCTCTTCATATTAGTCTTTTCACATTTCAGCACACAGAGGTCTAACAGAGCCGTTGACGGTTGCATTAATGTCCGTTTATTTCGTCCCCATCTAGGTTGTTTTAGGTTTGTTGTTGTTACCATCTGTGCTTCATTGAGCATCCATGCACACATGCTTTATGTCTGGGTAAAAGTGTATATATAGGATCAATTCTTAGTATTAGAATTTCTGGGTCACAGCATGTGTGTATTGTAAATTTTAATACTGTCAAGTTGTCCTTCTAAGAAGTTATACCAGTTTTGATTCAAACCCATGAGGGGCCAAATTCATGACACTTTTCACCTGCATTATGAGTAGTATTAATTTAAAAATTTTTTTGTTCATTTGATAGAAAAATTACAGTTAAAAATTTTTAAACTTCAAATTGTATTTTGTCATTTCAATAGTTGATGTTGCTGTAACGATTACCCTTATCTTTTGCATTTTGTTTTTATTTCAGTCAAATGTTTAAATTGCAAGGGCGTTTCAGATACTTTTGACCCATATCTTGATATAACATTGGAGATAAAGGTAAATTTCATAATTATGGGAGTAATTACATTTTTAAAATAAGCCATTTTATATAACTGGATAGTTCATTTATAATTTAGACTACTTGTTAGAGAATATAAATTGAATAATTCAGCATGCTAAGATTTCATTTGGAGGGATTATTCAAGTTTGTAGTAAGTATTGTAAAAAAAAAAAGCTTATAAAAGTCTTTTATTACCCTTTGAATTTTCTTTCTTCTTTTTTTTTTTTCTTTCTGAGATGGAATCTCTGTTGTCCAGGCCTGGAGCCCAGTGATCTCAGCTCACTGCAACCTCTACCTCCCGGGTTCAAGTGATTCTTCTGCCTCAGCCTCCTGAGTAACTGGGACTCTACAGGCATGCACCACTATGCCAGGCAAATTTTTGTATTTTTAGTGGAGTCGGGGTTTCACCCTATTGGCCAGGGTCTCAAACTCCTGACCTCGTGATCCACCTGCCTCAGCCTCCCAAAGTGTTGGAATTACAGGCATGAGCCATGCACCTGGCCTGAATTTTTCTTTAATATCTTAATAAAATCAGATTTTCATGTCTATATTAGCCAAATATAGATGGTTATTCTTTAGAAAACTGTTTTGCTTCTTGCATTTTCCTTTTGTTCTTTTTTTTTTTTTTTTTTTTTTTGAGACAGGGTCTCACTCTGTGCCTAGGCTGGAGTGCATTGGTGCAATCTCACTGTAGCCTCAATCTCCCAGGTTTTAATGATCCTTCCACCTCAGCCTCCCCAGTAGCTGAGACCATAGGCATGCACCACCATGCCCAGCTTGTTTGTATTTTTAGTAGAGATGGCGTTTCACCATGTTGCCCAGGTTGGTCTCAAACTCCTCCTCTGATCTTCCAACCTCAGCCTCCCAAAGTGCTGGGATTACAGGTGTGAGCCACTGCGCCCAGCCTGCCTCTTAGATTTTCTGAATTCCTATTTTTTGTCATTCTTGAGCTTGCATTTTTATGATTATAGATGTAATACATACTTACGATCAAAATGAGTAACATTGGAGATATATGTAAAATGCTTTCCCTCAGAATGAATTCTTTTTAACAGTTCGATATGTACTGCTCCAGAATATATTATTTGCTTTTTATACAAATGGGATTGTGTCTGATGTCTGGCCACTCACTGCTTGCATGTAATTCTGTTGGAGACCTTTCTGTGTGAATGTGTTCTCTGGGCAGTGTGTGGTGCAGTGAATGGATGGACCGGGATTCCTATGCTGAAATCCTTGCTGGTAGATATTTGGTTTGCTTCCAGTTTCATGCTGTTTTAAGTAATGCTGCAGTGAGCATCCCCAATATATTTTGTTCACTTTATTTAATCTGCCCATTTTAATGAAAGGGGATATAATTTGATGTGTAGATGTATGAAAGTGAACATCATACTAAAGGAAAACTTATTCATAAAAATTCTCATTTGCTTTTATATTTTTGAGTCTTCCATTCTTTCTTTTGAAAAATAAGTGGCACAGCTGGGCATGGTGGCTCACATCTGTAATCCTAACACTTTGGGAGGTCAAGGTGGGAGGATCACTTGAGCCCAGGAGTTTGGGACCAGCCTGGGAAATACAGTGAGACCCCTGTCTCTACAAAAAAATGAAAAAATTAGTTGGGCATGGTGGCCATGCCTGTGGTCTGAGCTGCTCATGCCATGGTCTGAGGCTGAGGTGGGAGGATTGCTTGAGCCCAGAAGGTCAAGGCTACAATGAGCTGTGACTGTGGCACTGCACTTCAGTATGGGCGGCAGAGCGAGACCCAAACACAAGTGGCAGTGTGTGGTGATGTGGTATTTGTGCCTCTTCTTTTCCCAGGCTGCTCAGAGTGTTAACAAGGCATTGGAGCAGTTTGTGAAGCCGGAACAGCTGGATGGAGAAAACTCATACAAGTGCAGCAAGTATGTTGGGTGGTGACTTGGTTCTTGCTGCTGGCTCTTCCAGTGGGGACAGCCGGCAGGCTTTGTTTGAGAGCATTTGGTGTGTCTGAAAGCCCCCTCTAAGCTGCTTGAGTTTCTGATACTCTTGGGGAAGACACTGGGTCCCTGTTATCCAAAGACCAGAGCCTGCAGTGTCTCGGTGTGTGCATTCCTCTAAGACACACAGCTCTGTGCCCGTCAAAGCCTGGGGCATAACACTGGTGGGCACATTTGGATGGGAGGAGAGAGGTAAAATTATCTTTGTATCCCATGGCAGTGCTGCTTCTGGTGTGGCTGGGCACCACCCATCTGCTGAATAGCATTCTCATTGACTTTCTTATGATGGGAGGGCTGATGTTGGTGGAGAGTCACTTTCTTCTGGGATAGCTAGGATCCTTCTCTCTTAGGGTGGGTACCCAGGGCTTGGAATAGCATTTGCTGGAAAACTCTAATTTTGATTAGTCAAACTAATATGTTTCCCTGTGAAGTTAAGAGTACCTATTTTAAGAAAACTCATGCCTGTAATCCCAGTACTTTGGAAGGCCAAGATGGGTGGATCATGTGTGAGGAGTTCAAGACCAGCCTGACCAAAATAGTAAAACCCCGACTCTACTAAAAATACAAAAATTAACCAAGCATGGTGGCACATGCCTGTAATCCCAGCTACTCAGGAGGCTGAGGCAGAAGAACCGCTTGAATCCAGGAGGCAGAGGTTGCAATGAGCCAAGATCGTGCCACTGCACTCCATCCTGGGTGAGAGAGTGAGACTCTGTCCCCCCCCCGCCAAAAAAAAAGAAAGAAACTCTTTCCTATGCTGTTAAGTAGATTTCCATGTTATAGTCAGGTAATATGGGTAATTTTTTTTATTATCAAATCTTCAAGACCTGAGGGATTTTGCTTTTGTTTTAAATTCCACAGACATTTCTAATCTTTATTTTTCCTCCTTTTATTTCTGATTAGGGCTTTCTTTTCACATAATAATAATAATTATTTTTTGAGTTGGAGTCTTGCTCTGTCGTCCAGGCTGGAGTACAGTGGCGCGATCTCAGCTCACTGTAGCCTTCACCTCCTGGGTTCAAGTGATTCTCCTACCTCAGCTTTCTGAGTAGCTAGGACTGCAGGCGTGTGCCACCATGCCCAGCTTATTTTTGTATTTTTAGTAGAGATGGGGTTTCACCATGTTGGCCAGGATGGTCTTGATCTCTCGACCTCGTGATCCGCCTGCCTTGGCCTCCTAAAGTTGTTGGGATTACAGGCGTGAGCCACTGTGCCCAGTGAATTCTTATTTTTAAATCAGATGAATTTAAGACTTACTTTTTCGGATGGGCACAAACATGGTGAAACCCCATCTCTACTAAAAAAATTTAAAAAAATTAGTGGGGTGGTGGCACACACCTATAGTCCCAGCTATTCAGGAGGCTGAGGCAGGAGAATAGCTTGAACCCAGGAGGCAGAGATTGCAGTGAGCTGAGATGGCACCCCTGCACTACAGCCTGGGTGACATCGTGTAAGACTCCATTTAAAAAAAAATTCTGCCGGGCGCGGTGGCTCAAGCCTGTAATCCCAGCACTTTGGGAGGCCGAGGCGGGTGGATCACGAGGTCGAGAGATCGAGACCATCCTGGTCAACATGTTGAAACCCCGTCTCTACTAAAAATACAAAAATTAGCTGGGCATGGTGGCTCATGCCTGTAATTCCAGCTACTCAGGAGGCTGAGGCAGGAGAATTGCCTGAACCCAGGAGGCGGAGGTTGCGGTGAGCCGAGATCGCGCCATTGCACTCCAGCCTGGGTAACAAGAGCAAAACTCCATCTCAAAAAAAAAAGAAATTCTTTCCACATAATTATACCAGCCTGAACATGTTCATTTTTCAGTTTCTTTTGAGTTGAGAGAAACTTATGTTAACCTAATTTTAACATTATTGGTGGCCTGCGTGGCTCGGTTTTTCAGAATTGTCCTATCTTTCCTTTCATGCTAATTAAGCAGTTTCCTCTTGTATGTATGTGTGTGTGTGTGTGTGTGTGTGTGTATTTATTTTATTTTATTTTTTTAATTATTTTATTTATTTTATTTTTTGAGACAGAGTTTCGCTCTTGTTATCCAGGCTGGAGTGCAATGGCACGATCTCGGCTCACTGCAACCTCCACCTCCTGGGTTCAAGCAATTCTGCCTCAGCCTCCCAAGTGACTGGGACTACAGACGCATGCCACCATGCCCAGCTAATTTTTGTATTTTTAGTAGAGACGGGGTTTCACCATGTTGACCAGGATGGTCTCAACCTCTTGACCTCGTGATCCACCAGCCTCGGCCTCCCAAAGTGCTGGGATTATAGGCGTGAGCCACCGAACCCAGCCCTCCCCTGGTTTTTTTTTTTTTATTGCATTTTAGGTTTTGGGGTCCATGTGAAGAACATGCAAGATTGTTGCATAGGTACATACATGGCAGCGTGATTTTCTGCCTTCCTCCCCTTCACCTGTATCTGGTATTTCTCCCCATGCTATCTCTCCCCAACTCCCCACCCCCCGCTGTCCCTCCCCTGTTTCCCCCCAACAGACCCCAAGTGATGCTCCCCTCCCTGTGTTCATGTATTCTCATTGTTCAACACCTGCCTATGAGTGAGAACATGTGGTGTTTGATTTTCTGTTCTTGTGTCAATTTGCTGAGAATGATGGTTTCCAGGTTCATCCATGTCTCTACAAAGGACACGAACTCATCGTTTTTGATGGCTGCATAATATTCCATGGTGTTTATGTGCCACATTTTCCCTGTCCAGTCTATCATCGATGGGCATTTGGGTTGGTTCCAGGTCTTTGCTATTGTAAACAGTGCTGCAATGAACATTCGTGTGCATGTGTCCTTATAGTAGAACAATTTATAATCCTTTGGGTATATACCCAGTAATGGGATTGCTGGGTCAAATGGAATTTCTATTTCTAGGTCCTTGAGGAATTGCCACACTGTCTTAACCACAATGGTTGAACTAATTTATACTCCCACCAACAGTGTAAAAGTGTTCCTATTTCTCCACATCCTCTCCAGCATCTGTTGTCTCCAGATTTTTTAATGATTGCCATTCTAACTGGCGTGAGATGGTATCTCAATGTAGTTTTGATTTGCATTTCTCTAATGACCAGTGATGATGAGCATTTTTTCATATGTTTGTTGGCCTCATGTATGTCTTCTTTTGTAAAGTGTCTGTTCATATCCTTTACCCACTTTTAGTTCTTTGTAAATTCTGGGTATCAGCCCCTTGTCAGATGGGTAGACTGCAAAAATTTTTTCCCATTCTGTTGGCTGCCAATTCACTGTAATGATTGTTTCTTTTGCCGTGCAGAAGCTGTGGAGTTTGATTAGGTCCCATTTGTCTATTTTGGCTTTTGTTGCCAGTGCTTTTGGTCATGAAGTCCTTGCCTATGCCTATGTCCTGAATGGTTTTGCCTAGATTTTCTTCTAGGGTTTTTATGGTGTTAGGTCTTATGTTTAAGTCTTTAAACCATCTGGAGTTAATTTTAGTGTAAGGTGTCAGGAAGGGGTCCAGTTTCTGCTTTCTGCAGATGGCTAGCCAGTTTTCCCAACACCTCCCCCTGTATTTTTAATGTTAATATTTTCACTGTTGGTTGAAGGCTGGTGGTTCTCATCCAGTGTCCTTTTTGGAACCTTAATGTAAAATGTTTAGAATTATAACAAGAAAGACCAAAAAATAAAAAATTGTGTATATATGTTCATCTTCTTAAACTTTTGTTTCTGTTTATTTCAAGGTGTAAAAAGATGGTGCCAGCTTCAAAGAGGTTCACTATCCATAGATCCTCTAATGTTCTTACACTTTCTCTGAAACGTTTTGCAAATTTTACTGGTGGAAAAATTGCTAAGGTATGTGGATGATGTCATTAATCATCTTTTATGTGGAGCCTTCAAGGCTTACGTGTTCGGAGCTATTAAGGATTCTAACTGACCTAGTTGAACAACTTTGGTGACCAGTTTTCTAAGTTCTGTCAGCATTTGGTGGCGGAAAAAATAGGTCAGAGCATGGAGGCAGAAGTTCTGCGTGTGTGCTTATGAGGGTGGGCCCTACAGCACACTGGACTTTCTAATGACAAAATTGGTAACTGTTACCTCCATTTGGGCTTCATTGTCAGTTTTGTTGGTATCCATGGTTATGAGGGGATATAGGGAGAGCCTGTATAATCTGAAATCCAAAGAGGACTTCCTGCTAGACTTTGGACAGGAGGTCAGGAGTTTGAGACCAGCCTGGCCAACATAGTGAAATCCCTCTCTACTAAAAGTACAAAAATTAGCCTGGCGTCGTGGCGCACCTGAAATCCCGGCTACTCAGGAGGCTTAGGCAGGAGAATGGCTTGTACTGGGAGGTGGAGGTTGCAGTGAGCGGAGATTGCGCCACTGCCCTCCAGCCTGGGCAATAGAGTGAGACCCCATCTCAAAAAAAAAAAAAAAAAACGTGGCTAAATGCATTGGGTTTTTGCTAGAACATCACAATGTTCTAGCAAGTGTTCTGTGGGTCTCCCCACCTAGAAGTCCTAAATACCCTCTCCCTAAATGTGTGGAATGATCTGTGCCCTCAGAAATGTTTCTCCTTTTTCCATTTCTGTGTAGGATGTGAAATACCCTGAGTATCTTGATATTCGGCCATATATGTCTCAGCCCAACGGAGAGCCGATTGTCTACGTCTTGTATGCAGTGCTGGTCCACACTGGTTTTAATTGCCATGCTGGCCATTACTTCTGCTACATAAAAGTAAGCTGTGCAGATTTGCTAATGACTATTGTTACATACATGCTGGAAGACAGCACTAGCATTCTTGGGGTGGGGAGAGATGGAACTTTTACAATTAAAATGTGAATACCTGTTGTAATAGTATCTTGGCTGGGCACGGTGGCTTACACTTGTAATCCCTGCACTTTGGGAGGCTCAGACAGGTGGATCACTTGAGGTCAGGAGTTCAAGACCAGCCTGGCCAACACAAGACAAGCCTGGCCAACATGGTGAAACCCCCTTTACTAAAAATAAAAAAAATTAGCAGGGTATGGTGGTGTGTGCCAGCAATCCCAACTGCTCCAGAGGCTGAGGCAGAAGAATTGCTTGAATCGGGAGGTGGAGTTTGCAAGATCATGAGACTGCACTCCAGTCTGGGTGACAGAGTGAGACTCCATTGCAAAAAAAAAAAATTCTCTTGACTCTGTTTCACGTTTAATTAAATCTAATCCCTCCTTTTTACTGGCTCTCATTTACAGGCTAGCAATGGCCTCTGGTATCAAATGAATGACTCCATTGTGTCCACCAGTGATATCAGATCGGTACTCAGCCAACAAGCCTATGTGCTCTTTTATATCAGGTATTGTCATGAAAACAAATTGTCAAATTTTTTGGTATGTCATTTCTTCTCTTCTTATCAACATATTTCAATTCAGTATTCAGTGTTTTTTTTTTTAAACCCAGCAGCTTAAAGATCAACTCTGGTCTGGCATGGGACCTCATGCCTATAATCCTAGCACTTTGGACAGCCGATATGGGAGGATCACTTGAGCCCAGGAATTCAAGACAGACCAGCCTGGGCAACATAGTGAGACCACAACTCTACAGAATACAAAAAAATTAGCTAGGTGTGGCGTTGTGAGCCTGTGGTCTCATCTGCTTGGGAAGTTGAGGTAGAGGATCAGTTGAGCCTGGGGAGGTTGAGGGCGGAGTAAGCTATGATTGAGCCACTACATTCCAGCCTGGGTGACAGAGCAAGACCCTGTCTCAAAAAAACAAACCAGCAAAAACTATCAACTCTGCCCTGTGCCTGAAGAGTATAGAAAGTAGTGTCTGAGTGTGATGATGAGTTTGCTCCATTCCCACTCTATGGCTGAGAGCACTGAAGGTGCAGCTGCAGTGAGAGGTGGTAGCTGAGCCGGGTGGGCTTCTGCTGCGGGCAGCAATGGAGTGGGCCAGGAGCCACAGAACAGTGAGTAGAGACCTCGGGAAGGGGCCTCTGAGCACCTGGCATGGTCACAGCCAGCACCTCCCAATCGTGGAGCACAGGTTAATCATCGCCTTCCGGGCCAAAGCCAGTGCCCATGCCCAGCTCTGTCCTGTTGTGGCTGCATACTCTTTTGACTCATTCCATTTTTGGAAACATTTTTGATAGCGGAAAATTAAGAGTATCCTAAAATGTCTTAACTGGCAGAATGCTCATGTCTGCATGTTGAAATAGTAAACACTGGCATTGAATTTCAGCAGTTGGGCTGAAGCAAAGATGATGATCAGAGGAGGCCTCTGAGGCCAAGATAAGGGGTAGGGTTTTGTTTCTCACTTTTTTGGACACTATAGATTTTCTAACGTGGCATATATTTATAATTAGAAAAATATAAGTCTGAGCAACAAAGTGAGACCCCATCTCTACAAAAAATGAAAAAGCCAGGACTGGTGGTGCATGTCTGTGGTCCCAGCTACTGGAGGCTGAGGCAGGAGGGCAAGGCCACAGTGAGTGATGACTGTTCCACTGCACCCCAGCCTGGGCAACATAGCAAGACCCTGTCTCAAGAAAAGAAAAATATAAGCTACAGAAGACAGCACTTTAAGAACACACAGTTTTAAAAACATCATTTACCCAATTATCCTTGTTTCCTGATCTGAGTGCCTGACATCAACGTAAAGGAGAGGATGCCTGTAGCTCTGTACCGTGTAGCATAAACATGCTATTTTTTCCATCAGTTTTCTGCCTGAAGGGTTAAATGCTGTTGAATTTGTGAATGAATCTCTCCTAAGGAGGTATCCTGTGTCACCCTAAGTATCACTCTTCTTGCTCCAGGTCCCATGATGTGAAAAATGGAGGTGAACTTACTCATTCCACCCACAGCCCCGGCCAGTCCTCTCCCCGCCCCGTCATTAGTCAGCGGGTTGTCACCAACAAACAGGCTGCACCAGGGTTTATTGGACCACAGCTTCCCTCTCATATGATAAAGGTAACAGTCCATAGGGAAAATAAAATTTTTATGTCAATTTAAAAAATGTAACTTCAAACACTCAAGTTACAATTGTAGTGGTTGCTGTGCCCCCATATACATCTGAATTTCTTCTCACAGTATAATCAAACCCTCCATTATACGAATATTTCAAATATACAGAACATGGCCGGCACAGTGGCTCACGCTTGTAATCCCAGCACTTTGGGAGGCTGAGACAGGTGGATCACTTGAGCTCAGGAGTTTGAGACCAGCCTGGGCAACAGGATGAAACCCTGTCTCTACAAAAAGTACAAAAATCAGCCAGGTGTGATAGTGTGTGCTGTGGTCCCAGCTGCTCAGGAGGCTGAGGCGGGAGGATTGCTTGAGTCCAGGAGGCTGCAGTGAGCCGAGATTGCTGCATGCTTTATTCTATGGACATCTGGCAGTTGATGATGACAGAGTCACACATCAAATATCCAGCAGGCTCCCGTATTGGGCTCTCCTCCAGAGTGACATCAGGGCTCCAGCAAACAGGAGGGCGCGTGCCCTGTAGGAAGGGATAGTTGGCCTTGCTTTTTCAAAGACGGTTTTTGTTTTTTATGGTGAAGCTTTCCAGTGTTAAGATAGCAACTAATTTGGGTATCTGAGAAGGCCATGTGAAGGCCACACATGATAATATTAACCATGTTTCAGGCTTGTACCTCCATGGGGATGCAGCAGCCATGGTGGGAACCTGCAGTGAATGTGTTACTGCATGAGGAGAATTTGGAGACATCGAGGGGCAGTGGTGGGGGTCATGGCTGAGTGAGCGGCGCCTGAAGCAGCCCCTGCTGTCTGTCCACATGACTGTCTTCTTTGCTCCGAGGCCAGGGTGATTCCTCCTTCCTGGCACTCTGTGCAGTGGTGAGCTCCCAGGAAACCCTACCAGGGAGCAAGTGTGTGACTCCATGCCACAGGGCCTGCTGATTTCTATCTGATCTGGAACAGAGAGAGTTTGGTCTGAGGATTGTATCCTGTGAAACATGTATGTCCTATTTGTTGACTGATTGCCAGAAAAGTAGGGCCCATGCAGAGTATGCATGGATAGGAGGGATTGAAAAGAACAGAGAACATTTCTAGATGTGTGAAACTTGTTAGTCCTGAAAAAGCAAAATGGGACGGACCCATCAGCCAAAATGGGTTCTGTTTCTGTGACCGTGTTTCCGGAGCTCTGACCTGGCTGTGCTTTTCTTACTTCCAGAATCCACCTCACTTAAATGGGACTGGACCACTGAAAGACACGCCAGGCAGTTCCATGTCGAGTCCTAATGGGAATTCCAGTGTCAACAGGGCGAGTCCTGTTCATGCTTCAGCTTCTGTCCAAAACTGGTCAGTTAATAGGTCCTCAGTGATCCCAGAACATCCTAAGAAACAAAAAATTACAATCAGTATTCACAACAAGTTGCCTGTTCGCCAAGGTCAGTCTCAGCCTAACCTTCATAGCAATTCTTTGGAGAACCCTACCAAGCCCGTTCCCTCTTCTACCATTACCAATTCTGCAGTACAGTCTACCTCGAACGCATCTATGATGTCAGTTTCTAGTAAAGTAACAAAACCGATCCCCTGCAGCGAATCCTGCCCCCAGCCGGTGATGAATGGCAAATCCAAGCTGAACTCCAGTGTGCTGGTCCCCTATGGTGCCGAGTCCTCTGAGGACTCTGACGAGGAGTCGAAAGGGCTGGGCAAGGAGAATGGGATTGGTACGATTGCAAGCTCTCACTCTCCCGGCCAAGAAGCCGAAGATGAGGAGACCGCTCCGCACGAGCTCCAAGAACCCATGATCCTAAACGGTGCTAATAGTGCAGACAGCGACAGTGACTTGAAAGAAAACGGCCTGCCGCCCGATGGTGCCAGCTGCCAAAGCCAGCCTGCCCTGCACTCAGAAAATCCCTTTGCTAAGGCAAACGGTCTTCCTGGAAAGGTGAGCATGTGCCAGGGTCTTCAGCCTCATTTATGGCAGTTCCCTTGGCTGGATTTCAGGAGGCATGGAGCTGGCACCTGAAGCTGAAATATTTTTGTTTTTATTGCAGTTGATGCCTGCTCCTTTGCCATCTCTCCCAGAAGACAAAATCTTAGAGACCTTCAAGCTTAGTAACAAAGTGAAAGGCTCCACAGATGAAACGAGGTAAGGCAAGAATAAATCAGAAGCACTTGTGGCTGACAGTAGGAAATCCTTCCTAATAGTAGGAAATCCAGTCGAGCCCATAGATGTGTCAGTATTTTAACACTGTAAAAGTTTTATAATGAACATTTTGAATCCTAGAATGACTTGAATTATAATGTGTAGGATTTATTAACTTGCCTTTTAGAAGAGTAAGGAAAAAGTATAGCGTATAGGACCGGGTCCATGGAAACTTAATGTGTTCACAGTGCCATTTCTCCTCCGTAGCTGCCTCTCTCTGCTTAGCAGTGTTGGTACACTTTCAAGCACCATCTCATTTCATCTTTTCATGAGGAATAATTGTGTGAGGTATGCTGAGGTTCAAGGGCAGGGGCTCTCAGTTCTGCCAAGTAGCAGATACAGTCATCCCTCCGTTAACAACCGGGATGCTGAGAAATGTGTCATTTGGTGATTTTGTTGTCATGCCAACACCACAGAGTGTCCCACAGACCTAGAGGGTATGGCCTGTTGCTCCTAGGCCACAAATTGCACAGCACCGCACTGGCTACTGTAGGCAACTGTAACACAGTGTTAAGTATCTGTGTCTAAACACATCTACACATAGAAGAAGGATAGTAAAAATACGGTACTGGCGCACCTGCAGAGGGCACTACCCATGAATGGAGCTGGCAGGACTAGAGGGTGCTGTGGGTAAGCCAGTGAGAGGCGAGTGAATGTGAAGGCCTAGGACACGACACTCCTGTAGACTCTCTAAACACAGCACTGAGCTGCACTCCATTGTTTAAAAATTGTATTTCTCCAGTAGTAAACACAGCTTACTACAACTTTTTACTTTATAAACTTTTAATTTTTAACTTTTTGACTCTTTTGTAATAATACTTAGCTTAAAACACAAACATACAGCTGTACAAAAATAAGTTCTTTATATCCATATTGATAAGCTTTTTTCTACTTTTAAAATTTTTACCTTTTATATTAAAAACGAAGACACAAACACACACACTGGGCTAGGGTCACAGGGTCAGTGTCATCCGTACCACTGACTTCCACCTCCACATCCTGCTCCACGGGAAGGTCTCAAGGGCAGAACACTTGTGGAGCTGTCATCTCCTATGACAACAGTGCCGCCTTCTGGAGACCTCCTGAAGGACCTGCCTGAGGCTGTTTTACAGTTAACCGTACATCTTGTAAGAAGGAGCACACTCTGAAATAATCATAAAAAGTACAGCTGGTAAATACATAAACCATAACTATTTTTTTGTTTTTGTTTTTGCGATGGAGTCTCCCTCTGTCGCCCAGGCTGGAGTACAGTGGTGCAGTCTCTCTCCACTGCAACCTCTGCCACCCGGTTTCAAGCAGTTTTCCTGACTCAGCCTCCTGACTAGCTGGGACTATAGGCATGCACTACCACACACACTTTTTTTTGTACTTTTAGTAGAGATGGGGTTTCACCATGTGAACTCCTGTCAGGCTGGTCTCAAACTCCTGACCTCAAATCATTCGCACACCTTGGCATCCCAAAGTACTAGGATTACAGGGGTGAGCCACGGCGCCCAGCCAACAGTCATTCATTACCATTGCCATGTATTATATATTAATTGTATGCACTGTACTTCCATGGGACTGGCAGTGCAGTGGGTTTATTCACACTAGCACCACCACACTCAGTCATGTGCTGCCCTAGGTTGTCAGAACAGTTATGGGGACAGGGATTTTTCCACCTGTTATCATCCGATGGACCACCATCACAGGTGGTCCATTGTTGACTGCATGTATGAGGCATGTGACTGTACTTTGTAATGGCCCCTCGAGGATTCTGAAATGATAGATAATAAAACCTCCCCCATAATTAAAAAACATGAATATAGTAACCTAAATGTAATTTAGTCAAGAATAAGAGGAAAGGAATTTGTCATGCAGTGATAGTGGCTTCACTGTGCAAAGAACCAGGCAGGACAGTCCTGCGGTGAGAGGCTGTGGCACAGGCGGTGCTTGCATCTGTGCACAGATTGGCTGTGAGCGATGGCTTAGAGCATGGTCGGATGTTGGCATAGTTGGTGCCAGGCGCAGGTTCGCCATCAGGAAGTCACGTTCTCATGGTGAACAACTTCTGGTGAAGTTCTGATCAAGTCGCAGCATGACCATCTCTAGATTTATATACTAGTTGCATTCCTAGAAACTTCAGTGTCTGTGAAAAACGTGCCAGTAACACACCGTGCTTTTACCTGCATGGTCGTTGGCACTCACTCACCTGTGGGGTTGCCTGTTGTGCTGGTGAGGCTCCCGTCACTGTGGCGACTCCAGAATGGCCCCTGGCAGGGGAGTGCCCTCACTGAGGCCCTCTGTTAGGAGGGCTTAGATACTAAAATCAGTGTGGTGAACCCTGCGGGCAGGGAACACTCACTCCCAACCTAAGAATAGGCTAGCTCAGACACTCCCTCCCTCGACCAGGGGACTCTCACCTTTCGTAGGCCAGGTAGCGTGAGGATGAGGCAGGTGGCTGTGCAGACAAGCCCAAGCCACGGCAGCTTTCATTAACCTTGAAGATGTATCGAAAGCTCTGTGGGAATCAAAGGACAGAGTTAATTTACTACAGAAAGTGTTTCTAAAGCTTCAGTGATGCCTCACAATTTGTCAGTAATTGGAGGAGCTGCTGGCTGTTTGGAGGTAGCTGCTCTACCTTTGAGTCTCCAAGAAAAATCAGAGAAAGGGAGTCCAGAGGTAAAGGAGGAGGCCCCATCATTAGTGGACTTTTTTCTTTAGACTTAGTTATTAGGAAGAACTAGAGGAATTGCGGCCAGTGGCTCACACCTGTAATCCCAGCACTTTGGGAGGCTGAGGCTGGTGGATCACTGGAGGTCAGGAGTTCAAGACCAGCCTGGCCAGAGTATCGTGAAACCTCATCTCTACTAAAAAATACAAAAATTAGCCAGGCATGGTGGTGGGCCCCTGTAATCCTAGCTATTTGGTTGGGAAGCTGGGTCAGGAGAATTGCTTGAACCTAGGAGCTGCAGGTTGCAGGGAGCCAAGATTGTGCCACTGTACTTCAGCCCAGGCAGCAGAATGAGACTCTCTTAAAAAAAAGAAAAAAAAAAAAAAAAACTAGAGAAATTAGAAGAACTAGAGGATTATCTGGAAACAGGAAGAGCCTAGAACTGCAGGATAATTGTTGTGAAAAATAGGCTAGGAGCTGGGCTGGATGATAGAACATTTTTATTTCGTAAGAGAAAGAGAAAATTGGGAATTTCCAGAGATGATAGGCCTAATATTGGGCTTCAGCCAGATATATTTAAAGATATGAAATAGTGAACGTTTTGAAGTATTTGTCCCTGTAATGCAGTGACACGAGCCTGTCAAATCACCACACTAATGGTGTGTGTGTGTTTGGGGTCCACAGTACACCAGGAGCAGAGAGGGGCCCTTCCGAGGACTACATCGCAGAGCCCCAGCCCGGCAGCCCCGCTTCAGAGTCCCTGGAGGAGCTGGACCTGGCCGCCAGCTCCGGCAGCACCAAGGTTCCACCACCCCCTGACCCCGGGACCCCCACTACCAAAGAAGGCACCTGGGAGGCCATGGCCGCCGCCTCCGAAGAGCCTCCGCCCAGCGCCGGCCAGGACATCATCACAGGGGACACCGCGCCCCCTGACCTGTGTGATCCTGGGAGCTTAACAGGTGACCCAAGCCCGCTGTCCCAGGACACGGGGATAATCATGGAGGGTCCTCGAGACTCGGTATCAGCGGAAGCCCAGGAGGGGTTAAGCCCGGCTCCACCCATGGGGTCGGAGGAGTCCCACGAGCAGCCGCTTCTGGTTCACCCCAGCAGGGACCACACCCGGGATGCTCAGGATCCGCCCCAGAGCTCCGGCGTGCCCGAGGCCTCAGAGGGGCTGCCAGCTCCAGCACTGGAGGTGGCCCCGCCTGGTCACCCAGTGGGGGACGCCGAGCCCAGCCCTGGGGAGAAAGGCGAGGACGCTGCGGTGGGGCTGAAAGCCCCAGGCCCTTCCCCGGCGACGGAAAAAATTGGCAGCCTCCGAAAGGTGGACCGAGGCCACTACCGCAGCCGGAGGGAGCGCTCGTCCAGTGGGGAGCCCGCCAGGGAGACCAGGAGCAAGACCGAGGGTCAGGGCCACCGCCACCGGCGGCACCGCACCTGTGCCCGGGAACGCGACCGTCAGGACCGCCACGCCTCAGAGCACCACCCTGGCCACGGCGACAGGCTCAGCCCCGGCGAGCGCCGCTCCCTGGGCAGGTACGGCCACCACCACTCCCGACACCGCAGCGGGGCTGAGCCAGACTGGGGCCGACACCACTATGCCGAGGGTGAGCACAGCTGGGGCCGGGAGAAGTTCTACCCTGACAGGCCACGCTGGGACAGGTGCCGGTACTACCACGACAGGTACGCCCTGTACGCCGCCCGGGACTGGAAGCCCTTCCACAGCGGCCGTGAGCACGAGCGGGCCGGGCTGCACGAGCGGCCACACAAGGACCACTACCGGAGCCGCAGGGGCTGTGAGCCAGCCCGGGAGAGGGAGCGGCACCGCCCAGGCAGCCCCCGCGCAGGCGCACCCCACGCCCTTGCCCCGCACCCCGACCGCTTTTCCCACGACAGAACTGCGCTTGTAGCAGAAGACAAAAACTGTAACATCTCTGATCGGTTTCATGAACACCAAAGTGGAAAGCCACGAAAACGGAGATACGACAGCCTGGAAAACAGTGACAGTCATGTCGAAAAGAAATCCCAGAGGAGCGAACAGAAGGATCCTCTAGAAGAGCCTAAAGTGAAGAAGCACAAAAAATCAAAGAAGAAAAAGAAATCCAAAGACAAACACCGAGACCGCGACTCCAGGTGAGGCTGGGACCTCATGCTCTGCCGGAGGTGTTGTCACCTCTGGGGCCTGGCCCTTCTCACCCGACTCAGGAACAAGGGACCTGCCAGGCCACCATTTTATCTGTTTGATTTGTGTCTTTCATCTCTAGGTTTTGAGATTTCACTATTTTTACAGAATTGTAAAAATTTGTTCTGCTTTGAAGCTGTATCTTCATTTGATGATGTTGTTAAATGCCTAACAACCACCTTTTTCAAAATGATAGTGCCATTTAGTGAATGCTTCATAACTTCCAGGAGTAAGCATGCAACGTCCCACAGATGAAAAATCAGGAGTCTCTGACTTTAGAATTGGTGTTAATTTTTTTTCCCCGACACGGAGTCTCACTCTTGTCACCCAGGCTGGAGTGTAGTGGCGCGATCTCATTTCCCTGCAACCTCCACCTCCCAGGTTCAGGTGATTCTCCTGCCTCAGCCTCCTGAGTAGCTGGGATTACAGGCGCCTGCCAGCACACCAGGTAATTTTTGTGTTTTTAGTAGAGACGGGGCTTCACCATATTGGCCAGGCAGGTCTTGCACTCCTGACCTTGTGATCCGCCCACCTCGGCCTCCCAAAGTGCTGAGATTACAGGCATGAACCACCATGCCTGGCCTGATGTTAATATTCTTATTTGTCAGATGTAGTTATCTTTTAAGAGACAGGGTTTTGTTCTGTCACTCAGGCTGGAGTGAAATTATGCCATCATAACTCACTGCAGCCTTGACCTCCTGGGCTTAAGCGATCTTTCTGCCTCAGCCCTCAGCCTCTGGAGTAACTGGGACTACAGGCGTGCACTACTACCCTCAACTAGTTTTTCCTTTTTGTAAAGACAGGGTCTTGCTATGTTGCCCAGTCTGTTCTCAAACCCCTAGGCTCGAGTGGGCCTCCTGCCTGGGCCTCCCAAAGTGTTGTAATCACAGGCATGAACCACTGTACCTGGCCTGTTTTTGTATTTTTAAAAAGCTAAATTGGTCAGTGATTGTCTTGAAAATGACTTATCTATGATGAGATGGATGAGCAGGAACAGAATTAGTAACTTTTGACATCTCTTGAAATTGAAACCCTGGGAAAAGATTACCAAAAGCCATATGGAAACTAGGCAGTAGTTACTTGAAGGAAAAAATAATATTGCTGCCAGGTGTCCAGGCACATGGGAGGGAGGAGGCTTAGTGTTTCCTTTCCCCTCAAGTAACCACTGGTTTTGGGAAAAGCTAGCAGAATCCTCCCTGCAGCATTTGTCCAGCAACCTTAGCTCCTGAGAAAGCCGAAGGCAGCGGTGGGAGTCTTCAGTGATGGAGCTGAGGTTAGTGAATTTATGACCCTAGACTTAAATAGTTATTACAGTGAAGGCAGACTTTTTAAATTTTTGTGAAAAGGTCTCGCTCTGTTGCCCAGGCTGGAGTGCAGTGTTGCAGTTTTTGGCTCACTGCAGCCTCAGCCTCCTGGGCTCAAGCAATCCTCCCACCTTGGCCTCCGGAGTAACTGGAACTACCGGTGCTCACCACCATGCCTGACTGACGTTTTTCATTAGAATTGTGGATGTTTGCAAAGTGCATGTTCTCAGTGGTGTGCCCTCTGAGGGCCAAGCTCCAGAGTCTGGTCTGGTGGTTCTGTGTTTTAGGGGTTTGAATTCTGGCTTTTCCTTCTGCAGGCATCAGCAGGAGTCAGACCTCTCAGCAGCATGCTCTGACACTGACCTCCACAGACACAAAAAAAAGAAGAAGAAAAAGAAGAGACATTCAAGGAAATCAGAGGACTTTGTTAAAGATTCAGAACTGCACTTACCCAGGGCCTCCAGTTTGGAGACTGTTGCCCACTTCCGGAGAGCACAGGGCGGTTTTCCCCTCCCTGGTGGCCCGCCTCTGGAAGGCGTCGGACCTTTCCGGGAGAAAACGAAACACTTACAGATGGAAAGCAGGGAGGACAGGTGTCATCTCTTTGAGTATGGCCAGGGTAAGAGGAGATTCTTGGAATCAAGAAGTTAGAAACTGTTTCTTAATACAGTTTGTTTGCAAAGATGATCAACACATAGAAACCCTCAGGTGGCATCAGAGGGCACACAGTTACTCGGCACACCCGTGCCCTGTCTGGTCCAGCCTCAGCGCTCAGACCTGCAGTGCAGTTCCTTGTGCGGTTTGGCTCCTTAGCACCAACCCCGTAGCATTTATTGAAGGCCTGAGAGACCCAGGACTGAGCGCAGCACTACCTGTGTCGCCAAAGCCCTGGAATGTAGGGCCCTGGGCTTCTGAGTGTTTGCCTTGTGAAGGACCAGAACTCTTGGTTTTAAAGCATTTTTTTGTGGTTTTTTTTGTTTGTTTTTGTTTAAAGCATTTTTGATAGAAATACTTTCGCAGTGTTTGTTACTCTCCCGAATCCTTAAGCCCATAGCATTCTGAGTATACCCTGATGCTCGGTACTGATGTGCTGGCTTGGGTCATGAGAAGCATGGGCGCTGGCCTTTGCCTGAGTGGTGCCACAGAGGCCTCCATGTGGCGGGCACTGGCTGGATTCTGCATCTGTCCTGCGGGGCTGTGTCTCCTTCGTGATGTGGCCACACACTGTGCTCTGATGGCACTTGAGGCAGCCCTCCCTCCCTCTCTGGTTGGTATCCAGTGACCGCTGGCCCTGGAGAGGATCCCTGAGCCTGTTAGAAGCGGGTGTCACTCCACTCAGTGGACCTAGAGCAGAGCTTGGCAAACTGCAGCCCCAGGGCAAGCTTCAGCCAGTTGCCTGGCTTTGCATGAACTGAACTTGGAGTTAAGAATGGTTTTAACCTTTTTAAGTGGTTGGAAATAATCCCAAAGAAGAACAGTTTGTTTCACATGAAAATGCTGTGAAATTCAGGTTGCAGCATCTGTGGCTTTACTGGGGCGCAGCCAGGTGTGTTTGCACATTGTCGGTGGCTTCGCTGTCACGGCTCGGCAGAAATGAATGGCTGCAACAGGGACTGTGTGGCTCGCAAAGTGGAAAATGTTTATTATTTGCCCCTTGACAGAAAAAGTGTCTCACCCCTGCCTGGATGCCCGATGTTTGCTTTCACATGTGAAGCGCATGCCCTCCTCACAGGGAGTTGGACATATCATTGGGGCTGCCCTGAGAGGCCTTGGCTGCTCGGTGGAGCTGTGTGTTCTGGGGAAGGCCTCTTCTGCCAACAGCCCAGAGCTGGCGTCCATTGTTGATTGAGAGGCAGACAGTCCTTAGAGTGTGTGAGTGAGAGCTGGGGGCTGACGGGCAAGCCTTCCGTGGGGGACACTTGCCCGGGGAGTGCTGGGGAAATGGCCGGAGTCGAGGACAGGCACCAGCACTGCCGGCAAGGAAGGGGGCCTGCCGGTATTGGCTGTTTGTATTGTAGACATTCTGGACGTTTCAGTGAATCGGGGAAGGGGATTGAAGAGGGCTGCTTGGTACCTGAGGATGGTAGTGGGTGGGCTTATCCTGCATGTGATGCAGGCTCCCAGGATGGCGGCAGGATCACAGCCCACTCTCAAGCCTCTGTGCTAAGCTCTGCAGCCGGGGCTGCTGGGAGACAGTGATGGTCCCAGAGGCAGCTGGTCCAGCAAGGAGGTGGCTGAATGTGAACCTGTTTGCCTTTCGTCTCAGGTGCTGTGGTCAGGCGTGTGTCTGTGTGGTGTCCCTGTGTTTGTTCCCGGTCCCCGGTCCCACTGTACCAATGACAGGGTTTGCAGCAGCTGGTACTTCTGCTGTGAGCACAGACTGAGGAGCCTTTCTCATCCTCCCAAGAAGGCTGCTGCCCAGCCGCACCTTACCCAGCATCCCGCAGTCCTGCAGGCCTCCCTCTGCCCTGGGTTCGGCCCCTTGCCTTTCTCTTTCAAACTCCTCTGGCTCTCTTCTGCTCAGTTCAGTTCTTGGGCCTGAGATCTGTTTTCCTCATGTTGAGGTGTGCGTGGGTTGGATGGAGCCAAGGATGGGCATGGCTGGGGCCCTCAGTTATCACGTAAACCCTTGATGTCAGTAAAACCCTGGGAGCGGCAGCTGCGCGCTGGGACACTCATGCTCACCTGGCCTGGAAGCGGCCTCAGTGTCTGTAGCCACTTAACATGCAGAGTACGGGCACTGCCAATTTTGCAACCATAATTAAAATCTCTTTCCTGACCTTTGCTTTCTAGGTGATTGAAAACTCCGCCTCAAAACAAAAAATTCACTAGTTATGGTAAGCTGTTTCCCATCTGTCCATTTCCTCATTGTTTGTGGCAGTGTTGAGGGGGCGCAGGCAGAGGAGCTGTAATTCTGCAGCTCTGCCTGGGGGCTGGGCCCACAGGAGTAGGCAGAGCCATGGAGAGGCCCCGGCAGGTTCCCAGCCAGCCCAGACCTAGGCCACGCATTTGGGGACAGATTTAGACTCCACCTGATCACCTTTGCATTACTGGCCAGGGAAGACCTGCATCCCTCACATAGGCAGTGTCTCCCCATTCCCTTGCCCTTCACTAGGAAAAGCCAGCCCGGCTCACAACAGCTGAGCCCTCGGGCTTTTGAGAAACATCTGGGGAGGGAGAGGCCTCATAACTCCATAGATGTCTCACTGAGGAGAATGGAGCCTCATTCCCCCCCCCCGCCGCCCTCCCCCTTCCCATGCTGCTGCGGCCCCGAGGTCGCACTGAGCCAGAGCCAGTACTCACCACACAAAACCACGGGAAGGTGATGGACGGCAGATCAGGACCTTGGAGCTGCAGGGCTGTGTGCAGTCAGTTCACACAGGGGTCCCGGGAGAGTCACCGGTTTCATACCTGAGTCTTGTGGAGCTAAAAAAGGGAACAGTGAACCATTTTTCCCTTGAAAGGAAACTTTGTCCAAAAGTGTCTGTCACATGTAGTCAGTCAGCGAAGGGAATTTAAAATTAATTTCCAAGTGAAGAGTCAGATTAATTGGCCGTTAATTAAAAGCCTTTATCAATGTGTCCTCAAGGGAGAGGCCCAACCCTAATTAAGGAGCTAAACTTCCCGAGTGAGGGGCTGTGAGGATGGAGGTGGAGGCGACAGCTGGGGTCAGACAGCTGCCGGGCCCAGCAGATGGCGCCTCCCTGGCTGAGCCCCCCGCACCGCCAGATCCCTCATTTTGACTCAGGAAGGCAGAGTGACCTTCTCAAGGAAGAAGAGCTTCCCCAGCCCTGGGGAACAGCTGGCAGGGCATCCAGGGATAAGCTGTGGCCTCACCAGTCCCCTGCGCAGCCGCCTGCCTGCCTTCTACTCACTAACCCTGCGCCTCTTGTCTTTCAGATTCAATGCGTTCAACAGAAGCCATCCCCAGCCCAGCTTAAATTATAAATATAGAAAATAACTGTTCAAATCTGCGTGGTGCTTCTTTAGTAAATACTGTACAGATTTTACCATGGAGAACTTTTTTTTTTTAGTTTTTACCTTTTCTTAATTACCCTATTCCAAATGGATGAACACTTTCTACCACTGCTGACCATTGTAAAATACCGTGTATATAAATCCCACTGAAATAATGCCCTGGAATAGAACATCTCAAATGCTGCTTAATTACAGACTCAGGTCGATTACTTGTATTTCATGTAATGTTCCTCCAAGTTAGACATCTGGTGCAAGACCAACCGGGAAACCATGGAATTGTCAAAAGTACAAACTGACAGTGTGTATATTTAATTTAAAGACTTATTTAAAAACTCACACACTCTCACCTAGACTTTCGAGAGCAGTCTGTTTTCTGTAATGTCTGATACTAGAAACTAATTTGCTTATTTTAGTTGTATTCAAGATTTGAAGATGTATTTTATAGACAAGTTCTGTTTTTGAACTTTGTGGAACTGTTCCAATCAATTTCCCAGTTATGATGAGTATTTACATTATGAATGTATAACCCAGACATGATTTGTAAGCCTATAGTACATTTCTATTACACGACACTTTTTGATACAGCGTCTCTTGTCTTGACTATGATACTGGAGTCTCAGTTGTCTGCTTGGTCCCTTCGAGTTTCTAGTTACAGACACAATCATACTGTGATTTTATTTTTAATATGGATATGCTATCAAACTGTGATACACTTATAATTCACTGGTCCTGCATCAGGAGATGGAGTGGGGAAAACTGTATTTAATACAGTTTGTATCTGAATAATCTGTATGGTTTATACAGTTTGTGTTGTTCAGAGATGTTTAAAGTTTGATCTTTGTTTTTTTAAAGATTAAAAAAGCACTTGCCCCACTGTAAATATACAGCATGTAAAATTTCTATAGTATATAAATGGCAGCAAATCACACACTTTGCGTCTTATTTTTTTACTGCTCTTTTCCCCATTTGCTTCCAGACTCCTTCCTGTCATCTGAATTCACTTTCTTAAAACCTTCAAGTGTTCCTGAAGTCAGCACCGAAAATCGGAGGGGTTTGCTGGACCCAACCGTATCTGTTTCAAAGAACCGAGTCTTAGACAGTCTTGTTTTAACATGTGATTTTTATTTAGTGAACACAGTATTTGCGAGAGCTCTGACAGCCATCCACCCTCCAATCTTAACCTTACTGTTCACTTTACAACCAAATATCGATAGATAGAGGCTATTTCTTCATGCGAGCTGTGGGAGTATATACATTGAATAACACTCCAGAAATCAATAGATGTACATTATTTACATATTACTGTGTTTATCGCAAATAGAACTATTTTCCTAAGAAGAAAGTCACAACTTGTGGTCTCTGGTTTACCACAGACCTAACTTCTGGGCAAAGCACATCTATGTAGATATCTGCATTTGTAACTTTAAAAATAGGCATTGCTTTCTATGAAGCACTAAGTGCTGCTCCATCTATAAATAGCTCCCATTTTCACTCAGTTTGGTACCACATTAAACTGCCCAAAAATGTTCTGTGACCCCAAAGACATTGCTGCTTGTCTGGCTCCAGGGTCAGTCCAATTAAACTCAAATGTGAACCAGGGCCCAGCAAGACAGAGGCTGGAAGGGTTGTGGCAGCTGCCACCTCCCCACAGGACTCCCTCACTGCCTCCTGGCTGCTGTCCCTGCAAGAAAGTGTGTCTTTGGCCAGAGTTGGGACTAACAATTCAAGCCCTGCGTTCAGACATCGGGGTGGGGAGGAGGATCATGATTGTGATGGGTCACACCTGCCCAGGGTGAGGGACAAAGACAGATGTCCTGCTTCAGGGCCATCCTGGTGGCAGCTGGCCCTGTGCAGTCACTGACCCAGAGTTTTCTGGACCAGGCCTGCCTCAGGGCTCAGCAGGCATGATGGCTGCATGGCCTTCATGCTAATACTGTCGTAACATGGCCTGGAGCCAAGAGATTTCTAACACTCTTGACGGCCAAGTACCTGGAGTCTAACGGCACCACAGCCTCTGCGCAGCTCCTGGATGCCCACCACCCAGTGAAGCTCACTCACAGATGACTGGAACAGGAGAGCTTAATCATCCGGCAACTCCTTCCTGCTGCTTCTCCCCACACCAAAACCACATAAAGCTCTGCATCCCCAGATCACACCTGGGTCAGTCAGGAGGACACGGCTCCTGCAAGTGTGACATGCTGACAGAGCTGGCAGGGCCAGCCTGAGGGGTGGGCACCGCCGGAGCCGGCCGTCAGTGTGTGGTCTGGGTGGGGACCCAGGCAGCGTTTGTTTTCATGGAAGACTGGAGGCCAGAGCTGCAGATCTACCAGCCAGGCATTTCAAGAACGCTGACTTGACTTTCTTGAAACTAAAGTTTCTAATGTGAGGTATCACTGCAGTAAGAAATCCTAAGAACTTGGGAATGAACCAGTCTCATGCAGGACAGGGCTTCTGGCCTCCAACCCCTCTGCAGTCTAGTGTGACTTAAAGCTACATCAAGGTCAGCCATAGGGAGCCACCTCCTCCCTCAAGGCAACTCGAAGTCTTCGATGCTGAGAAGGAAACCTGCGTGCACAGCCTGAGGTTTTGTCTCCTGGACTGTGCATTTCGCACAGGAATGCAGATGCCCTCCAGAGCGTGCGGATTCAAGGTGTGTGCACCTGTGCAGGTAGGGTGGGAAGAGGAAAAGCCAGCCACCAACCCAGCGGCCCAGTGTGCAACAGGGTCCTCTAGACAGAGCAGTGTCTGCCACCGACCCAGGTCAACCCAAGCATGCCATGCCCCCCTTCCAGCCCTGTACCCTCTGTAGGTGGGGACCAGATCCACCTTTCCTGGAGCAGAGCACCAGGTACCTGCAATCCTTACATCCACAGCAACCTGATGGCCTCCTAGGCAGGCATGAAGCTTTGCCTGTTCCAGCACCAGCATCACCTGGGGTTCTCAGCTTCCGAGAACCCTAAGTGCCGGGCCTCTGCACCCATGACCTGTTCTTCCCTCCCTGTAGGGAAAGCACCTCTCTCAGGACACGGCACACTACATGGAGTGAGACTGATTCCTTCCTTCTGTGTCTATTCATTCAGAAGCCTGTTCAAATGATACGGTCTGTAAAATAAGCGTTGATTTTGCCACAGGTTTTAAAGTGCGATATGGTCAAAAGCTGGTCTAACCCATGGACTGTGTTGACCTATATGAAAAGCTGCCATTTGTGTGCGTCTAAGCAAAACATTAGCAGTTTCACGTGGTTCAACGTATGGACCATCTGTGTCCAAGGAAAAAGCTTTTCCTAGGATTTAGCAGTTACAGGCTAAATACCCCCAAACCATTAACCGTTATATTTTAATGATTTGTTTTTTAAACTATTTGTGGGGCCAAAAAACCTGGATTGAAGGGAGGCCGCAGGGGAGTCACACTGGAGCCCCCAATCGCCATGGCCACCCCTCCCCAGCCTGCCTACTGCCCCCAGGGCAGCCCTCCCCTTGGGTGCTGCATCTAGATGGGTACTTTTTCAGTGCACAGTATATACTTGTGTCCAGGAGTTAACTTTATAGCTGCCATTCTAAAAATACTACTGTTAGAAAGTATCTTTTGTTATAATTTCAGTATATAAAAAGGCATATAAAAGCTATAATCCTATATATCTGAGAAAAAATTCTGAATAAAAAACTGGTAGCTTTTCCTTTCCTGTTTTGCTATAAAACTGTGGCTTTCTAGAACAGCTGACACCACCACAAGTGGACATGTTTGGCATGTTACAGATGAGGCTCCCGTCTGTGGAATCCATCCCGTGTCTGCTGTGGAGAGAGCAGGAGCTGCTGTCCTGGCTTCTCCCCCTGGAGCACTGGGACAGTCGCAGGAAGGAAATGCTTCTGGACACGCACAGCTGACCACGACCCCAGCCACCGCACAAGGCCTGGGGGATCAGTCTGGGCCACGGTACGCTCTGGAGAAGCAGCAAGCACCGCAGGGCGACTACCTCCCAGGACCCCAGCCACAGCATGAGGCTTTGGGGATGAGTCTGGGCCACTGTATGCTCTGGAGAAGTGGCGAGTAACCTCAGGGCGACTGCCTCCCTGCCGCGCCTTCTGTGGAGGGGCGGCCCATGGTGTCTTTCTGCTGGGGCTGGGTCTTTTACCAGGAAAGCTATTTTTTATTGGCAATCCTTCGTTTCCTTGTTGCCAACATGTCATAGAAGGGGTCCCTGCTGATACTGGCTCTGGTTAAAAAAAAAAAAAAAAAAACCCAGGTTAGGTCATGTCTCCTTCCCCATCACCCCAGAGGCTACTCAGACAGGACTGCAGGCTCAAATCTGAGCATCAGCTTCGGCAGCTAGCCCTCCAGGGTTTCTGGAGGCAGAGGGTGGTCCACTCTTGCACACGGAAGCGTCCATGTTCCAGACCATACACCCCACCTCCAAGTGGCACGAGAAGATGGGCATGACCCTGGCACCCAAGGCCCCGCTTACTTGATGGATTTCATCCACTCCTCCTTCTCCTCCGGGCTAGGTGCTGAGATCCGGTACACCACGTGGTTCCCCTCTACCACACGGCCATCAGCCTCCGTCTTACAGGCCTTGATGACCTGCCCTTTGTGGCTGGGATTGTAGAGCTCAAAACAGTTCTGGTGGAGAAAAAGAGAGGGGAGGCCATCACAGGGGCTTCAGGCCAGGTTCCCTACAAGCAGTAAGCATGGCTCCCAGGTGGCTGGTGGGAGAGAAGGTGCAGGAGGAAGAGCTTACGGGTTTCCGGGGGTCCTCCACCTCCCTGATGCTGAGGTTTTCTAACGGGATGATTCCCCTGGGCTCCTTATCCTACAAGAGAAAAGTGCACGGCAGGACTTACTGTGGGTCACCAGCTGGAGGGTCCCTTGGCCCCAGGACAGTTCTGTGACTGCTGGGAGGAGGCCAAGAAGGCCCAGCCTTACTTACTGTTGTGTATTCAAAGTAATAGAGGCAGTTATCAGTCAGGATGAACCACCGGCGCTTCCAGGTCTTCACGCGCCCTCCTAGAAGCAGAAGGGTCCCATGAGTCCACGCTCCGTGCACAGGGAGCCTGTGGGTCCAAGAGCGGGCCCTGGACCTGCAGAGACCACTGTGTTTTCAGAAAGGCTGCCAGGCACCAGGCTTGGGTTTAGGTGTCCTTCAGTGTTCCCACTGCGGGGCCCTGCATGCATCCACCCCACCCACGCCGGTGTCCCCTCTGTGGCACCGAGGGGCCCCCTCCATGACACGACCGCACTCCAGTTCACTTCCTGGGAGAGTTAGTGGGATGGATGGCCTCATTTCCCGACATGAGATGGCAGCATGATGAAGTCAGGACTGCTCGCCCGGCTCTGTGCAGGACCTGACCCCACCGTGTCAGGCGGTTATCACATTACGGAGGCCCTCAGGCAGCCCTGGGATCCATCAAAATCAATCACCCTAGGCCCAGGTAATGATGAGATTGAATTAATTTTGTAACAAGATCTGTAGCACACGTGCACACTCACGCACCCCCATCTGTACCTGCCCTCCTCCAAGGGAACGAAATCTCTGATCCTTAAACATTCAGCAGAGACAAACTCACTCCAGCTGCTAGCCTTGCCTGTGTTTGTTTTTTAAATAATTCAACAAAAAAACACGCGAATTGTAATGAATTCAAGTGCTCCCTGGGGCACTAGGCCCTCTCTGCCCCATGACTCCCCAGTGCTGCGGAGCTCACTGGCTTTCTCTGTGACAGGTGGGCAGGGGAGGAGCCCTCGGGGCTGAGGGTCCTAGGCCTCCCTGCGTGGGGGCCAGCACAGGTGTTGGGGCCTGGAGGCAAGATGGTGGAAGAAGGGCTCTGCGGGTCTCCAGGACACAGGGTGCTTTCCCTGTTGGGGCCTGGTTTGAAGAGACCATGCAAACCAGTGAGGGGAACCAGCTGCAGGTGGGAGGAAACCCTGGCCCAGAGG